GGATGTATGCTGACAGCAGACGTGAGAATAAAGATGGTTTAAAACGACCGAAAACACATTTAAGTAGAGTGGCATGTCTGAGTGCTGTTGATGAGGCCCTGGTACAATTAATAGAACAGCTCAGATCTTCGTGGACTATCACACCCAAGTCCTTGTCTGTTGATGCATGAGGCAGTAATTCCTTTCCGAGGAAATAAGGAAATCGCCCATGGTGGCTTAGCGAAATCACCTTGCATTTGGAGACGTTAAATTGGATGCCGTTCTCAATAGACCATTTGTGAGCAGCATTCAGTGTTTCTTGGAGTTCCAGCGAACCCCCAATTTCTGTCACTGTCTCCCAGATTTTGACGTCGTCTGCAAACAATAATGTTTTTGGTCCTAAGATATTCGGTAGGTCGTTTATGAACAAGAGAAAAAGTCGTGGACCAAGCACAGAACCCTGTGGACTCCGCGAGGAACGGCGATAGGGGCAGACAGTGAATTAGAGACTGGAACCGACATAGTCCGTTGTTGAAGAAACGCAGCAATCCAATCAAGTGCAAGGCCTCTGACACCAAAATTGTGCAGCTTACGGAGCAGTATTTCGTGGTTCACCCGATCGAACGCTTTGGAGAAGTCCAGGTTAACCACACCAGCTGGATCACCTTTGTCTTTGTTCATTCATCGCGGGCCAGGAGAAGATTAGTAGTACATGATCTCTTTTGACGGAATCCATGCTGTGCTGGGGAAAGTAGGTCGTATTTCTCTAAGTGTTCCATCAAGAAATCCGCCAAGATGGATTCCATGACTTTGGATAGAACGGGTAAGAGTGTCACCGGGCGGTAGTTGGCAGGATCACTGCGACGGCCGCCTTTGTAAATTGGAGAAATTATGCCTTGTTTTCACGACTGAGGCAGCACGGTTGCGTCAAACATCCTTTGGAATAGAAAAGCTAGCGACTCAGATATGTAATCCGCTAATGCAATAAGCGGTTGGGGATGTAGGTTATCTGTACATGGAGCCGAATACTTACGTGGACTCGGAAACTTTGATTTCACTCTGTCGGCATCAAACGTGAGGGTAGTCAGTGCTGGATTTGGAAGAAAGAGCATCCGACGAGGCAGCCGCAGTCTCGTGTTGTTAGTCGTAACAAATAACACTCCTCCGCCCGGCACAGTATTGTGGATTTATAACCTGAGAAGAGATTGGTCACATTTCGGTATTTGAAGGCGAATTCACGTGAAATGTAATACAATTTTCCAGTTCCGGCGCAAATTCCGTGTCTGAACTTCGTTCCAGCCTCAGTACACTTTCAAAAACAAAAGCACAGATTTTAGGAACCGTGAAATTTTAGACAACCAGTACTTTTTCTTATTTCCTCCGAATGCTGAAAGGCAATCGTTCACCAGTTTTCGTAGAGTATACACCACTCATTGCCGCTGGAATCTTTTGTGATGACCGACAAAGAGTACTGGACGACAGTTCCGATCTCGCTGGGACTCGTCAACCTATGACGCACACGTCGAAATCGAATATGATCAAATTCTCTCATCAGTTCGACTTCGGGTCCAATGGTGAATCATGACGTGACCGTTTACGTAGCCATACACGTATATTGTTGACCCTTGGTTCAGTCTATGTGATAGAAAAAATCGCTCTATGAGTCAATTTAGAGCCCGGAAATCAATCCATCTTGTGTGCGTAGGTGATAGGCTTTCATGTGATCAAAACGAAGCCGGTCTAGGTTATTTTTATTTTTTACTCCATCCTCATGTCAGCTTCCTTGCACATTTTCCACATTTTCTCACTGATTTTCGTCTCTAAGCGATTGAGAGCAAATAGGAGAACTATAGATAATGTTCACTCCGGATTGCCTTACGATGCATTACCTGAAACAAAGGGATCATCCAGATATCAAATCATGGTGGCCACATCCAAAAAGACGATAGGTCTTGTGACATTCTGTTCCACGATCAACAGATCGACTAAGTTAAATGGAATGGAAGTGGTTGTAGAACGAAATAAAACGTGGCTTTTGAATTAAAATTACAATGTCAAGCAAAGAGATTCTATGAAGAAAACAATTTTGATGTTTCATATCGTTGCTATTTTTCGATCATCCTGCCGATCATTAATATTTCTAATTTTACTTAACCAATTGTAGCAAACCTTTACCGAACAACAAGTGGTATTTTAGTATTTTCTGAGCAAACGTATCTTCAATAAATAAGTTTCTTCGTTTGCAAAATCACGACATTGATTATGGACGTGCACCAGATAGACAGCTCAATCATCTTCAGCTTACTGAAAAGTCGGAACACTATTACTTAGATATCGTTCTTGTCGAAACCGACATCGATCGGTCAAGATCTACGGGTGAGAAAGTTAACGTCCGGTATTGGCGCTGTACGTGTACACATTGTCGGATCGAACCTTTTCTAGGTCTTCTGGGTTAGTCATCTTACCCTCGATACACCGCCTTTATTTGATATGCTATTTATAGTAACCTTTCAGGTCTTTTTGCTTTTTGTATATGAACTACTTACTAATTTGACAATAGTCTGTATACTGCCGGAAATTTAAACACCGGTGATCCCCAAACAAATTGAGTTAATTTTCACACGTTTTCTTCGTACCGTACACGACCTTTATGACCATATGATAAATATAACTACATCACTGCGTTTTGGATTTTTTGTTGAAAGGTTTGCCGTAAGAGGCTTTTGCTGGAAAATATGCCCTCTGATTGGCCGCTTCTTCCTTCCTGAAAAATTGTTGTATCTTTGTACATTCAATAAAAGGAAGTAAAATGAGAAAGATAAACAAAGAAAAACCTCATCTCGGCTTAATGTTTGTTTAAACTGAACTGAAATGAACATCTCGGCTTCATTTTATCCCGCAAACGCTCCAACCGAATTGTAAAATACTAAAATCCCACATGTTCTGCTGGAGTTTGTCCAGGTGTTGAAGAAACACATAAGATCTTTGGGTTTTCGGTGGCCCTACTAAAAACACACTATAATGAAATGTTTGCAACAATCCTCCATAGTGAACAAGCTTGTTTTCGTAACTTTGTCTTCAGATCTTTACAGATATTTGCTTGTTTATATCTAATGTAGAAATAAATGTGATTGGTCCATAGAGGTTAAGTATGAAAATACCACAATGTCTATCAAGTTTAATCCGAGCGGATGGATAAAATGTGGACAGTGGGCTAAGGGGGGGGGGACGAAGGTCAATTCTGGAATTTTCGGTGATTTTTTTCACGTGCAACTTGTCACACCATATTGCGTTACCACGGCATGACTGAGGTCATGGTTCGGGTCATCACGTAGGTTTGGTTAGGGCCAAGACAACTAGAGTGCGGCAACCATCTTCTGTTTGCACAATGGTGGTTTCATGATTTCAATTGCTACAGCTTCCGCCGTTGCCAAGTGACGTTTCCAAACTTGCTTCGATTTGATTTGGGATACTTTGTGGACGACTTTGAATTTATCGTTGTCTGGATGATACCCGATATCAGTGATGTGGACCATAACCGAAATTTTCACATCGTTTTCGATGGTAACGACACGTCTGTCCAAATTGTGGTGTTTAGTTTTAATATCGAGTCAGCTAAACGTGAATCGGTAACACTAATCAGTAGGGTGTAAAAAGGACTATCTGCCTCCCTCTCTCGCCCTGTGAAATGTTTGGTTTGCACTTAAATTTACTACAAAATTCTCGCTTTAATCCATTCTCATTCTCTCCCTCTCTCTCTCTTCCATAAACAGCCATCAGATGCCAGTCTACACGGTGGTCGATTAACGGCGGATGCTGCCCATTCACTGTGGAACTTATCTTCCAGTTTGGCTTCCCTCGTTGTTGCACCATTTGACTACGTGCATCGGATTCTGCAAATGGCCAGTCGATCGTTCTCTGAAGCATCGACACGAGGCCTGGATTCCACCACCTTTTCCATCGGGGTTACAAACGATTCGTTTGTCTACACTCGTCACAGAAGGCGTCGAACCCGAACCGATACCGATATTCATGCACATCCCCAGTACCATCAAGTTGCATCTCGGCCGATCCCCGTTCACCATCATCATCCGCACCACAGTCTCAGATGCCGGTGTACCATTCCAAATTGTCCTACCCCCTGGACCACTCCAATGGCCCGTACATCCACACCGGCTTCGATGACCAACGTTCGGCGTCCGCTGTCCACGGATTCCTCGTCCTGTGTACGTACAGCAAGTACCACAGATGAGACCCGAAACACGGACTACATTTTCCAGTTTGAATAGATACGTATGAGGCTTGTCAAAAGATTTATAGGAGGAGATTTGATTCTCCGTTTTGTCTTGCCAGTCTTTTGCATATCTTTCTATTCTCCAATCCATTTTCCCATCAAGCACGCACCAAACCGTCTAACTATACACCATTCAGTGGAATTTTCTATTGACAGTCTATACGTCTATCCACCTGTCTGTTTCTCTTTTTTTTATAGACTATAGTGCCTTAAGCTCCCCTCCCTCCTGCCGTCTCTTCGACCCGTGTCACACTTGTTGTTCCCTCATCCACAGATATTCAGAGTCATGAATCGACTTTGGAATGTGAGCGGCTGCGTGAAAAAGTCAATATTCTCCTCACTGCACCTCTCACTCAACACCATATGAATCGATTGGGTTTGGATAGATTTCGTAGCTTTCTACTCTCCCTTACACACGGAGTCTTCCCGGGCGGGAGGGGGATACTTTCTCTGTTGCCTTTGTTAGGCTTATACCACTCCCTCCCTCTTTTTACCATTCAACACGTGT